TACAACAAATCAACAAAATCCACTAGGCATCTTTATTACTAAATAGTTTCGTACCACAGTATGTGGCACTCTTCAGATAAATTGACCTAATGACTATAGACTAAAACTTACAAGGTTATATGTACAAGTGGATGAGACATGAAACTTAATCCTATTTACAAAGCACGCGATTTAATAAACATGTTATATGATAAGCTGACAGGACGCGGAAAGATTAACACACCGCGGTATATTTAAATGTCTAGCTTTTAAATGTTACTTAAAAGGAATTTTTTATTATGCCTACATGCTGATACTAACTCGTTACGTTTGTTTAAAGTGGCCATTTTAGGCTGACAAATAATAAAGTATTTCTCCCATAAACACAAATTACATCTATTTGAAGCACAGTTATAAGGCTTAGCTCGTTTTAATAGTTTCCATTTGATTGTATAATGGATGTTTCGATTTTTCAATTCCCACACATATTTGCTAAGTTCAGTAGCGTTCCGTTTGTCAAAATAGCTAAATGATGCTTTATGGTTCGCAAGTCTTGTTTTGAACGAGTTTTCAGTAAGGCCGACATATGTTTGGGGAGGTCTATTGGTAGTTTTGTCCTTAGTAGTGACTGTGGCTTGATATACAACCGATTCGGTGATACATTTATTAGACAGTGGGCACAGTTCTTTATATATATATTTATATATATATATATATATATATATTATATTTATATATATATATATATATATATATATATATATATATATATATATATATATATATATATATATATATATATATATATATATATATATATACATATACATATAGTACAATCTGCAGACATGCATGTTTCGGCGTTCAACACCTCGTTAGTGCAGCTTGGTACACGTCTAGATACATGATACCTCCGCATTTATACACATGAGCGTGCTCTCACCAAGCGCATGTGGCACAACACAAAGATATCGACGCATCCAGACATGCGCAGAGCGTAATGGTGCCAGAGTGCTTAAACAACAACTATATATATATATATATCGACTATTTTTTTTAATATAGTCTTTAGTATATATATATATATATATATATATATATATATATATATAGATATAGATATAGATATAGATATAGATATAGATATAGATATAGATATAGATATAGATATAGATATAGATATAGATATAGATATAGATATAGAAAGACACAAAAACTTAGCAAGCTTTGTTTGGCATATTTATTACTATACAGTTTCGTACCACGTAAATAACGTGGCACTCTTCAGATAAAATAGCCTATGTTTGACCTATAGCTTCTAACGAACTTTTTAAATATGTACAGATGGTATAAAGGACGCTTATCTAATTACAAATCAATTAACACCTCAAGTAGTGTCACGAAAATATTAGTATCAAGTTATAAAGTTTTTAAGTAGAAATTTATTAGCGTGTCTACACGTGGAGACAAGTTCGTTGCGACGATTAAAAAATGTGTGCCAACCGGCATGCACTGCGCGCTTCATTTGCTCTGGCGGCCATTTTTGTGGCAGAGAAATTCACGAGAACATTGTATTGCGAAGTAATCATCAATATTATTGTCCATCTTCGTATGTGTAATACTATTTTTATAATTTTTGTCCATCTTCGTAATTTTTATTCATCTTCTATGTTATAATATTTTTATAATTTGGCTTGTGTTATATTTGAAGCAAAAAATACCACATTTATAAAATTAATACAGTATTAAATGGCATCGCCATCGTTGCCAAAGCGCGGCAGGCCAAAACTAGGCATTGAAGTTCACCGGATTGGCCTACGAATGGACGTCTATAACGAGTGGCAGGTACAAAAAGATTTGGTTGGAATGGCTGAGAAAACCCATAGTGAATTCGCTAGTTACCTACTGCAAATGTGTGAAGAAATGAGAGTGCGTCAAAACAATCAACAATGCTCAACTCCATCGAGTCAATCCCAAGGGCAAGGTGAGTTTATTATAAATTATATGCCATGATTATTCTTCCAACACCTATGATTTTAAGGAAATGGAATCCTCGTATTTTAGTATTTGTATTTTATTCATGTATGCTTGATTATTTACAGTGCCAGTGGATAAATGTTGGAACGAATTTTAATTATGATACAAATATTTGTTTTTTGTTCCATCAGGTCATGTTGTCCAGTCTACGCCATCACGACTTGTTAGAAGATCACTACTTCCTGAAGATATTCATCTGTCTCCTATTCTGGCTGACGAATCTGAGATTGATAAGTAGATTCTAGATAGAAATAGAACTTTCCCACACCATTCCAAATATAAGCTCCCCCCCCCCGAATATAATCCCCCCCACATATTGAATATAATATCATTTTTGTTTCTTTTCATGTTTATAATTAACAATAAATACTTGGTTACCAATGTTGTCCATGTATAAGCCCCCTGTATATACTGTAAGGTGTATAAGCCCATCAAAAAACACTTACAAAATTTATATAAGCCCAGGGCTTATAATCAGGGGTTTACGGTATTCGCTCACTATTTTCAGGACAGTAGATGTTCCATGCGTCGATTTGTCCCAGTTTGGATGTTAGCAGAATTGAGAGTCTGTGCACAAGCATCAACCCTGAATTTGGAATGTTTCCTGGTAGGCTGTCATCAGAATCGAAAAGTGAGAGATCTGAATCTTCAGAAACAACAAGGTGAACATTACTTTATAGTATTATCAAGTGCATAAATTATGATACTATGACTACACTTGGAAATATCCAGAGTTCGCTACAGTAGATATAATATTTTAATACTTTTTCCATTTGTGCACTGCATTAACATATTTTTAATTTATAAACAAGCAACTCGGATTTGGTCAGTTCAGAATATGCTATCTATGTATGATGCTGATGAGGATGATATGGATCATTGTGAATGGTGTGACGACAGTTTTTATGACAAAGATTTCATGGATGTTGACGATGAGATGTAAGTAAAATATTATTAAGTATAATAGTAAGATTGAGATTTTCACTCTGCCTTGGAACTCCAATTATTTTGTGAATACATGTTGTCAAGGGCACTTTTGAATGTTGTCAGGTCACTGTCAGGCATTGAAGGGTAAAAAGTAAACAAAGTTCAATTAACAGAATTTGTGATTGACAAGTATTGTGGGATATGAGAGGACTATGAAAATAAACAATCCAAATTATTATTTAGAAGCAAAATGTAAAAACTTTGATTCAAGAATGTTGAAATCAAAGATGTTATTTTGCAAGTAGTTTTAACTAAGCAAGCACTCTGATAGCAATGCCTTTTACACTGACTAACAGCACCTTGACAACATTCAAATATGGCCTTGACAACGTAGTACCACCGCCTTGATAACATACATTGTGTGGTGATAAAGTTTTTGTAAATGTTCAAACATTTAAACTAAACATTTGGCATTCCAAGGTTGAATGAAATCACACTAATTATTTTGCTTTATAAAGTGAGATTATGATAGTGAAAGTCACATTGTATCAGTTTACCAGTAAACAGACCAATCAAAAGCAACTTTTCATACCAGAAAAAACATGGAGGTCAGATTTTCCCTTTCATGTTGAAGTATTGAGAATTCTTCATGTGTACTTTGGGTTTTCACCCATACCAAAAACATAGTAATTGAGTGTAGTTGTAGAACATATGTATTATGGGCCCATGGCTAGCTTGGCTTAAAGTGGGAAACCCATACCTACAAGTATTAGTATTGAATTCATTGTAGTAAATGCAGTACTATTTTCTTTTGAAGTTTTGAAGAGGCGGAAGGAGATGTGACATTAACTGCATCAGAGGGTGAAGATGAACCATCAGAGCTTGATCATACTAAGGGAGAGGAAGATATGGATGTGAGCTATTTTGAAGAATGGGATAGAACTAACATAGAGGTACAGCATGGTCCAGAGACAAGGGATGATTGGGCACAGAGATTATTAAAACAGCTGAAAGAAGAATTTGATAAAGTGAATGTTGCAGGAAAACAGAGCCAGATTTTCGCAGACCATGGTCAACAGAGTCGATCAGTTGTTGAGGTAGATATATTGCTGGAATTATTTAAAAACAATTGCCAAATGCATCTATGTACTGGACAAAGTAGAGTTGAAAATTGGAAAGCTGATGGGGGTGTTTTAATAATCACATGGAGATGCTGTCATGGTGGGGTCTGGTCGTCATCAAAGGTTTTATGCGTAAAGAAGGAACAGAATGTGTACACCACTACCATAATGATAGCTGCAGCAATTATTATTATAACAGGTGGTGGCAATTATGAAAAGTTTGCACTATTTTGCAAATTTCATGGTCTGTCATTCATCTCAAGGTCAACTTTTATGAGAATCCAAAAGAAGTATGTGATTCCTGAGATCAAGAGATTTTGGAAAGACATGAAGGCATCGATATGGAAAATCTTTTTTGGGGAAAGCATCATTCTTTGCGTTGATGGCCGAAATGATTCACCAGGTTTCAGTGCTAAGTATTGTGTGTATGTACTTATGGAGCAGTTTGTCAATGTAATTGTAGATATCGAAGTTGTAGACAAGCGTGAAACTGGTGGGGTGTCAACCAATATGGAAGTTTATGGACTGAAAAAACTGTTGGAACGTGTTGTTGGTGAGATTGTTGTGTCAGAAATTGTGACAGATGCTTCCACGGCAGTTGCCACACTGGTTAGAAGAATGAAAGGTATAATAATAGTAGTAATGGATTAAAACATGAAAATTAGGTGCAGGAAAAAAAATATTTCATGTCTTCCCATTATGTTTTAATGCATTGTGTCCTAATGCACCTACATTATTATTTTACTCTGTCTAATGCCAGATGATTTTCCTAGACAATCCTGTTCATCAAGGGGAGATGGCGCTGGCTCTTATAAATGGGTTAATTAATTAAATATATTTTATGGATTTTTAGATAAATATCCTAATGAATTTGGTAACCTGTTTCATGCGCTTGACATTTGGCACAAATCTGTAAAGTTGACAAAGAGGCTGTCAAAGGTGATATTTAACTTCACTCCCTTATACAATATACTGTACGTTATTGTGTCATTTAGGAATATATAGTAATCATTAAATTAAATAAAACATAATCTCTTTAAGTGGTGAACATGGGGGAGAGGATTATTTTAGACAAAAAAAGTTTAACTAAAATTTCTAGCTACAAACATTGGTCAAATGCTGACACCCTAAAATCCTCTCAAGTGTCTGTGAAAGTACATCATCTTTGCTATAGAGTCATATTTTCCTAATTGAGATGTTCGGTTTGAATATTTTTGGTTTTAGGCTGCAAAAATTAAGGGTTGTGAGGTGCTAAGCGAGTGGACCGAACCAATACGAAACCACTTCTGGTATGTTGCACAAGAAAGTAAGGGCAACACAGAGAAATTAAAGGTGAGGAAAGTACTAACTTTCACGTTAGATTGTTACCCTTATATATTATAGTTAATACTAATCAGGGTTTGAATTAACGGTGTGAAAATACTGGACCAAATAGTGAACATTGCACATCACTTTTCCAAATGTTCTGTGGAAAATCAGACTTGGAAACTATTGGGACTATTTGCCTTATAAAGTAGGGCATATTGGAGCTTATTGGTTCAATGAATACACTTTAGGACAGCTAGTTTGGAGTTTTACATCATGTTGTTGGTGAACACGAATGGGCAGATGGTGAGTGCACACATGGTCCTCTTGTTTCCACTGTAGAAAACAAGACCTTGATGGATAAGGGTTCCAAGGCAATGGAGGCTTTGCGGAAAGTGGTGATGGATCCTCGCTTTCTTAATGCTTTGCACCATTATGTAACATTCAGGTATATTGACCGGTCATGGGACTTTACAGTGCATTTCTCATTATACACCTGCAGTAAGTTTATAATAGGCCCTTCACAGCTGGCCCTGTGTCATTGCTCTCCATAACAATTAAAATTGTCTAGCGCTAGGGGTAAAAACAAGGGGGGTAAAATCACTTTTGCATAACAATATATCTGTGCTTTGTCTCACTGTAATCCTTTGTTTCCAAACCCCACTGATTTCAATATTCTCCACTCACTCATTGTTCTCAACTGATACTATTCAATAATTACACCTATGGTGTTTACACTTGCACTTGTTGTTTGTGACTTGACTTCTATTGTGATTTTCTTCTTCTGATGGATGTGAATGAGTAGATGAGTTATCAATGTTCTGAGTACATATATACCCTCATCTGAACATTCATAATTCATTCACTCTTTCACATCCATCAGAAAAAGAAAGTTGCACCTAAAATCTCTGCAAAAAGTGGAAATATAAAAATTGTGAAGTCATGTGAAGTAATGATTTATTTATTAGACACACCAGCAAGCTAGAAAATTTCAATTCAATGCTTTTGAAATATACACCAAAGCGAGCTGGATTTCAGTAAGTTTAATATCTGTCGTCACCATACTTACCCGTGTGGATGGTTAGGTGCAGACGTGGTCAGCTAATGATCTCCGGATTTGAGTTACTTGGATTCAGGTCCGAATCACGTGGACCTGTCCATTCAGGACCTGACCACCGAACGTCTACACCTTATCACACCGAACTTAGTTCGATGGAAATTAAATTGAAAATCAATTGTAGTCATGAAAAAAAAAATTGCTTCTTCTCTGAGCACATGACCATTGCAGTTGGCTACAAATTAGCTAATGACCTGAGAGTCTGCTTGGCACTCTCTACATCCGATATCCTGAGGGCACATGTCGTACCCAGACTGCGCGCGGTTCCTATGATATTAACCTTGGTTACTATGTAACCTCATAATATGTAATCGTAAATAATGTATTTACTAATGTATTTGCAACACTCATTCTTTGTCTGGTGTTAGATGATATGGTGGCCACATATGGGCATGTTGCTGTCATTGTAGCTTAATGGATTTCAAATTGAAAGTCAAGACAATTATGTCAATTTATTTATTAAACTACAACATTGTTTTAGGAATGACTCATTTATAGCAAGAACATTACTTGCAGCTATTGACCACAACAGCCATCTCTTCAGACAAGCAGCTTTGAACAGGGATGGAAAGAAGAAATACAACAAAGTGTACAGCAAGCGTTCAAAAAACTGGAGAGTGACGGCTGTATTAGAAGAGAAGACCTATGACTTCTGGCCAGCTCTAACTTCTGGCATCCTGCAGAGGAAGATTGATGACAAGGATAATATCCTAAAAAAGTAGAACTGTCAGCAGAGCATCCGAAAAACATATGTCATTCAATTGCTATGCAGCCTGTCCCAGCTACGCAAGAAATTGTTGATCGGGCACTATCCAGATTTGCGAAGCCTACATGAACATATATTTTCTGTATTTTTATAATAGCCAGAGTAACAGGGTCTATTTTACAAAGAGAACCTGGCACAAACCCTAATCTAGTTGCTCTCCACCAAAAGTAAAATTTATATTTAGAGGGTGGTAAGGGATCTTTTTATTGATATGTGGCTAGGCAGGGACTTGTGTAAGGTCCTCTTCCCTCTCACCTACATTTACGTATATTTGAAAGAAAGGGAACATCAATCTCCTTCCCAGGTTCTTACTTCTTGTGGAGGAAAACTCCTGGTATGAGCTGGTCATGTGATCTGCTAAAATCTACAAGATTTTTCAAGTAGCAAAACAAGATGAGGTAAATACTGAAATGACTTGCATAGTTTAAACCATGGAGTGGCAGCGCTCTCTCCCTGACGAGTAAAATCGTCTGGCATTAGACAGAGAAAAATAATAAAATAGGGTGCATCTGGGCGCATTGCCACATAAAGGGTTAATTTATTGTCGGTTAATTAGAAATCTGCTAGATTTTGACAGATCAGATGACTAGCTCATACCAGGATATTTAATTCACTGTCCACAAGAGGTAAGAATCTGTGAATGAAGTTGGGGAATTATGGCCTGACATCAACTTTGGCCATGATGTATATAACAATTTTAGACATTTATGCATGCATATTATATATATATTACAAATATGAAATTGAATATTCTATAAATGTTTAATTAAACTAACATGTCAAGCTCTCCTGAAACCCATATAGTTTCCATCATCAGCAGGGAAAATGTGTCGAATGGTCAAGACTACACATGATGGGCACACCCTTCGATTGCCCCTGCCCAATTTCTTGTACCTCCAAAGGATATACTGACGGTATGTAGCCTTGCAGTAACTATTTGTTGAATAGTCAGGGTCCTCTACTCTTATGTCACATCTTGCTCTAATTGCAATCAACAAAACATCCCTGTCAGTACATGTGTTCTGCAATGTGACAAATGATGTAACACAACGAATCTTGCCACAACATTTGTTTTCTTCCTCAGTCGGCATGACACGACAGACACCACATACACACCAGGTAGGTTTTCCATCTGGGACAGGTGGGACAGCATCACCTGTGCCATATTTTACCAAATTCTTGGCATAATCCAGACTCCCTTTTCCATTTGACAACAAATTTAAAAGAATATTGTCTTTTTGAGCGTCGTTTAATTCCCCGATAAAGCCCTAAAATTATATATAAAGCCATTTATGAAGACATAAACCAGTAAAACTAAATATAACTGTGCCTAGAGTCTTGATGTCATAGCCAGCTACATATAATAGTACAGTGACTTGTGCTTGGCAGCCATGTTTGCTTGACTAACAGGAAGAACAATGAATTATTCATTAGGGCGCATATGTGGAAATTTTCATTGAATATGCGTCGTATGTGCATCATTTAACTTTTATATTTGCGTTGTTTATAGTGTAATACTCATAATTATTTGGATTAATATAAAAGACCTGGCGTGCAAAAGATATATGGGAAATTAAAACGATCAAAATTCTGTATGAACACTTGCTTTGCTTACCGTAATCTCGCGGTTAGAAACCTCGATGGCCGCTTGATGGCGGTCAAATGCATTTTTCCCAGCATTTGCATTCGTCGCAGTCGCCGTACTTTGTTCCTGGTTTTTACAAGAAGACTTTTTTGACCCACAGGAACACTTGTCAGTGCAATGCAAATTTTCATCGCGACACGGACAACCGCGCTTTTTTCGTCCACTACGTCTGCTACATGTATTCTTGCAGCTGCAAAACTATCAAATAAATACAATGAATAAATAGAAATATACATACCAATTAATAAAGGAATAAACAAAACATGAAATCACAAACATACCTGGGTTCGTTGAGGTTGAATGTTTTCAACAATTGTTGAAGCACTGGCAGTTGATGCATTGAAGGCATTGGCAGTTGATGCAACCTCTCCTAACTGAAATTGATCGTGGCTTTCAGTCGGAGAACCATAACAATTTAAATTGTCTTCAGGATCGTAAACAGACACAGCATAATCAGAGTCTGAATCGGACATTTTATCAAGATTTTAAAGCTTGTTGCGTGTGGCGACGGTCAAGTATCAATGCGCGAATATAAAATGAAGTAACAAGCGTGAACAATAATATAAACAAAAAGCGCGCAGTGCATGCCGGTTGACACACATTCTTTAACTAACAAGGCTTAACTACTCAAATGCGCGATTCTGATTGGTTATCTTTTTGGTTTTGTGATTGGTTAACTCCAGTTAACTACATTTTCATACAACGGGCCCTTGGATGTTTGCCTTGATATGATCATGAAGCCGAAGTTCGCAATTATTTTGTTTTTCTAAAATTTCGTTAATTTCCAGTGTAGCCTTTTGCTGCATGTTTTTCAATATTTTCCGGAATTCCAAATTTTCTATTATTAATTTGTCTGGGAAGGCAGACGTCAGCACACTTCCAAGAATACGTCAAAGCGGTCAAGGAAATGAAACACCGCAGGAAATGACCGCCCATCTATGACATAAAAAAATTATATGATCTAGATCGTGAGTATTGTGGCGTGTACATGTCATGACTGACGTCAACATGGTCAGTAGGAAAGGATTTTACTGACATATTCTGTGCATTGATATTTTCCGTTTCAAAATATCGCTCCAATAGGTATTCATCTGATAATCATCAAAAGGGTTTTGGCTTATAAAGCTTCCTTCCTACTTCGAAATTCTTGGAATAATTTAAGCGCTTCGTCGGGGAACTACAATGAGAAATGTATATAGTCACTTTCATCTCCAAATACCGCCTAAATTGTATACTCATGTATTTGCACCCAGTTAATGACGGTTTATTAATCCCGTTGAATTTTTGAATTAAAATCATAATATTTTATACTAAGTACATCCATGCATTGTATGTATGAATCACGCAGAGTATAGGCTTTCTTGAAAAGGTGAAAAACAAGCAAAACATGCTGATGTAAAATAGTAAAATTGTCTCTTCAAATTTGTTGTTCCTTATTAAACAGGCAATAGTGAAATATTTTTTCTGTTATAAACTCGAACGATCTGTGGCAGCGTAGGTAGTGACACTAGAAAACCAGAAAACTGTGAATTGAGGTTTCAATGACCTGAATAATACAATTAAAACTTGCGAACAAAGGCTCTAGCTACAACTTCTCGGGTCTTTGCTAGAAATATCGAAGTTTTATCTGCATTTTTAGTAGTTGAATTTTCGCCAATCCGCACTTTTCTAACCGCAGATTTTTATCGCATGTTACCTTGTGCCAAGAAATTTGTCTTGCCAGTTTTACTGACATGTTCCAGAATATATCAGAAGGTCTGACTCGACACACTTTGTTTCTGGGACTGAGTGGATAGGCATTCCTTTTGTGTGACATTACTTGTGTTTTGGGCACATTGACATTGTGTAGTCTCGCTGGCATTTTTCATATCCTTCTAATTATGTGTTTTACTTCTCAGCGCATGCCAAATTAAGTAATGGCAATATAATACAGAGGTTCACATTTGATTTACTACCTCTCTCTGCTTACTCCGCATCTGAATGGTGAAACGGATATATGAAACGTATTTGATTGGTTAATCGGATATATGAAACGCATCTGATTGGTTAATCGGAAATATGAAACGCATCTGATTGGTTAATCGGAAATATGAAACGCATCTGATTGGTTAATCAAAAATATGAAACGCATCTGATTGGTTAATCGGATATATGAAACGCATCTGATTGCTTAATCGGATATATGAAATGCATCTGATTGGTTACTCGGAGATATGAAATGCATCTGATTGATTAATCGGATATATGAAATGCATCTGAGTGGTTGATAGTCCTTCAATGGTAGCAGTAGTGGAAGTCAAATTTGAATCTCTGCATGTGTTATACATCAGCAGCATTATTTTGTGCACTCTTTTACGTAAAATATGTTTATTTCACCGTTATAGTTTTCACTTAGAGTTTTAATAAGCCAGCTTTCTGTGTGAATAACACCAAAGAATAAATCCAGGACTTTGTAATATTTCGATGTAGAAAATGAGTTAAAATTGAATTTTCATTGATTTTGCAGAACCGTTTTGTGAAGAAAGAAATGGCACGTTATTGTCAAGGTCATGTGACAATGTCACACAGAAGTTAAGACAAGCTGAAAGGTTAGTCGATGATCATGCACCTAATGCTTTCTTTGTATTGTTCCTATCTAGTCTGAATACAATCAGTGCGGACAAAATTCCTGATTTTAGCATGTATGTTAGCTTGCAGTAGATATTGAGTTAAAATTGTCGATAAAGTTTTACATGGCAGCAAAAATCACGACAGCTTTTTTGTGTTTAAAGGCTGATTTCCATTCAGTGCAAAATGTCGCAAGATCAACTTTTTGTGATGGCTTTCTTTTGAAATGTGTTCAGTCGACCTCGTCCGTTGCGTTTGATTGCTTGTTTTCAAACGAAAGTGATCCCAAAATTTCGATCGCGCGACATATTGCATTGAATGGAAATCCGCCTTAATAGTGCCCTTTTCCCATCATTATGAAATTTCAGGTTTTTCCACCGTTGATAATTGGACGTAAAACAATTGAAAATGAATCCCATTTGGAATTATATTCATGAATTTAGATTTAAAAAGAAGTCTTGGACATGTCTTCAGAGGTTTGACAGCCCTGAAAGTAACGGCAACAATTCCGCATTCATCGACCAGTACGAGAAAAAGCGGTTTTACATGATTTGTGTTTCTGCTTGTTTTACCCACTACAAACGAAATCTCTAGCTTTCCATTTATAATTTTCCAAATGGTATAATTGGGGGAATCAAAAGAACTCCGTAAGAAGTGGATAAATGTAATTGCCTGCAAAGATTTCTTACCAACAACAGGCCATAAAGTGTGTTCTTTGCACTTTCCTGGAGGACGCAAAACCTACGCGAACCAACTGGAATACGTGAATGTTCCACAGCATCCTCAACGAATTATCGATTAACAATAAAAGTACAGAATATAACTCCTTTATATATAAAAAAATATAGTTTGGGATTTCTTTTATTCTTGCTAAAACAACCAGGAACCCAAACACGTAAAACCACCATTTCTTTCACTCCTACCGTCGATGAATGCGGAATTGTTGTCGTTACTTTCAGGTCTGCCAAACCTCTGAAGACCCGTGCAAGAACTGTGGTCTTCATTGGCTTGAATAGCCTCTAAAAGGACGTCAGAGAACAGCAGAACACTCACCTACGACATTAGGTATTTTGGATTGTTTTCCTGCTGATGACTACTAAGACCAAAATTCCCCGCGCGCTTCACACCTTGTGACGTCATTAGGAATAAGGTCTATTGTTGTTACTTCTGCTTTCGTTCGTTATTTATAGCTTTTCCTTCTGGTATGTACTGCTTTAATCATGCACAAAGCTGGACAATGCAATTTTTAATCGGCTTGTATTTAGTCATTTCTTCTTGGTATCGAAATTCATAAACCTTCTAGTGCATCCTTTATTATTGGAACTATATACAGACCTCCAAGTGCTTCGGTTGACTCATTTGTCGCAATTGAAAAATTAGTGCAATTAATAGATGACGAGAATAAGGAATTCTATTTACTTGGCGATTTAAATGCCAACATGCTTGACATTTCGAATAATGCCACAAAAGAACTAGTTTCAATAATGGAACAATATCAATTAACTCAAACAATTAGTGCACCCACTCGTGAGACCACGACTTCATCCTCTTTGTTAGATGTTTGTCTCACTTCTACTCCAGAAAAGTTAATTACATCTAGGGTAGTCCCGATTACAACTAGTGACCATTATATGATCGTCATTGTTCGTAAAATAAATACTTACTGTAAACAAAAACGCCACAAGAAAGTTGAATTTCGAAATTTAAAAAATTTTAATGTCGATAATTTCCAAGCCGACCTGTATAGTCAGGATTGGGAATCATTAGATAACCAAGCATGCGTTGATAAGATGTGGGATATATGGAAAACACTCTTTATGACAGTGCTCGACAAACATGCTCCAAATAAAGAGAAAAGAGTGAAAGATAAACCCAGTGTCCCTTGGCTAACCACTACAATTAAAAAACAAATTAGAGAACGAGATCGTCTAAAACTTCTTGCAATAAAACACAAATCGGAAAATTACTGGGATGCTTATAAATCGTCTAGAAATCGCATAACAGATGCGTTGCGAGAAGCTAAAACAGCTTATTATAAAGTACAATTTGATAAAGTAAAACATGATCCAAAACAAGCTTGGAAAACTGTTAATAAAATCCTAAATCGAAAGCAAAAATGTCCAGATATAAACTCTGTCAAAACTCAGAATGGAGAGATTACCGATCCAAATGAGTTAGCGGAAAGCTTCAATGATTATTTTACTAATATTGGCCCAGATATTGCAAAAACGATCGATAAAGGTGACAGAAATTTCACGGATTACATAACTAGAG